TACCACAATCCTTTTAAGAATTATCTTGAACAATAAACCTTTGGAATGTTTGGGCTTGTTCTTGAGAAAGATCACTTGATATTTGAGAGAATATGAGGTGAAATAATTTAACTGAGAAGTGAATTTAGATGTGTTCTAAATCGTGTTTATATAGGAGGATAAGAGGGAATGAAGAGACATGTGCATTGGACTGTGTAATTATCTCATTGGGAAAACAATTCTGCCAATCAAGTGACACCATTTGACCACCTTTTTGGTGATTTCGACCAAGGTATGACCGAAATCACTTTGATTTCGGTTTTGGTTCCACCCATTAAGGGGTTTTCGGTTTTGGCAAATAAGATTTCGGTCCATGAGTGGTTTAGATCATGTATGATTTCAGTTCATGTGTTAATTAGCTAAGGCATGAGATTTTGGTCCTATATAACCGAAAACCCTTGGTTTTAGATTCCTAAAACCGAAATCCCTAAAGTAATGTATAATTTCATGCTTTTAGATTTATTTGTTTAACTTGTGTTGACTCCTTTGATTCATGGTTGACTTGATGACTTCCTAAGGTTTGTTACAACATGGTTCCCAAAATAAATTTATATAAACATGCCTTTTTGGCTTTCAAAATTCTAATGCATCAAATTTACGTTGTGAATTTACTTGTACATGGTTAAAATTTAGACCTTGCTTGTTCTAAATTTTTTTCAGTTATCACACATAGCCAGTTAGATGCAAAATCAAACAACAAATTTCAATCAGAAGTTCACATAGTCAGAACTTCTAACTCAGTCAACAACTATTAAACAACCCCTTAAAAGGGTAATATATTTTTCGATTTGTACACATTTGGTCACTAAGTTTTTTTATCCATATTTACCCCTTCAACTTGTTAAACTGTACACATTCAGTCCTTATGACCGATTACTAGGTATGAGATTTAGAACCGGAAAACCGGACCGGAACCGGAACCGTTAGAACCAGAATATATATAACCGGTTCCGGTTCCGGGTTTAAAAATTGGCTTTATTCGGGTTCCGAGTAATCTGAGTTTGGGTCCATCGGGTCCGGGTAAACTGGGTCTAAAAACCGGAACCGGTGTTTGGAACCAGAACCACTTTTAGGGCCGAAACCGGTTTTTATGAAACGTTTACAAGATGCATATCTCATTCGTTTCAACTCTGATTGACATTTTTTTTTTTTTTCAATATGTAGTTTAGAGTTTGTACATAATTGTAGACTATAAATTTGCTATTTTTTGTTTTATATTCATTTACAGTCCCCCAAAATCGAGATATCAAAACTGAAAGTTTTTAGTTTTTTTGGTTTTTTTGTATTCGGTGAAAGTTTTAAAACATGCATATCTAATTCGTTTGAAGTCGGATTGACATATGGTTTTTTCCAACTTGTAGTTTACAGTTTGTACATGAGTTTAGACTATAATTTGTCATTTTTGGTTTAATATTTAATGATTTACAGTCCTCTGAAGTCGGGATATCAAAACTGAAAATTTTCAACTTTTTAGCTATTTGTTTTTGTACTTTGTATTATGTGAAAATGTTAACACATGCATATCTCATTCGTTTAAAGTCAGATTGACATACGGTTTTTTCCAGAGTGTATTTTAGAGTTTGGAAATGATTTTAGACTATAATTTTGTTAATTTTGGTTTCATATTCAATGAGTTACTGTCCCCCAAAGTTGGGATATCAATATGAAAATTTTCAAAGTTCAACCCACTAAGTACTAAGTAATTACCAAAAAATTCTGGTTTTTATGGGTTTTCCGGTTTTAAACCCACTTTATCCGGTTCTAACCTACCTACTTTGATGTTTCCGGGTTTTTCGGTTCAAGACCCACTTTACCCGATACCATAGCAGGAACCGAACCGGAACCGGTTCCTACATACCCGTCCGGTTTCCGATTCTTCAAAATCTCATTAACCGGTTCCGGGTTTCCGGGTCCGGGTCCATCCGGTTCGGGTTTGGACACACTTTCATCTCTAATGTGAAGGGCTTAGCGCAGGTTGGACCGTTGAGCCTTGGAGGCAAAATGACTTTCGAGTTTCCATTCAATAAAATAATATTTTGGCTTAATCTTGTTAGTCATTTGGGTATTGGATCAATGTTGGGTTTTGGATCTATAAATTCCACTTTACATGGATTTTATGTTTTCTATGAGAAACCCAAGAAAAAAAACGCCACGACATCAAAAATCCTGTCCATGTCAAATACAATCTTATGTGAAAACGTCATATGCACAACCAAATAGCTTTAATAATCACCTCTACAATCAATCCCACCAATATAAAATAACATCCATAATACAATCAAATTAGTTCTTAATCTGTAACAATTTCCAAATAAGAATTAGTTCTTAATCTGTAACAATTTCCAAATAAGTATATGAAACCTGATCATCAAATTTCCAACATTAGTTATGGGTTTTAATATTATAACTTATACTTCAATAGCTTAAAACTCATTAGCTTAGTTCGTAACACCGAACTCTTGGTGTATCAAAATATATCTAACATGTTGATTTTGTGAAGGAGGGAATGTCCATGGTAACTGTCAGATCTTGAAAAATAAATGTAAATGTAATTTTTAAGAAAGCTTGTTGAGAGTTTTGTTGATGCAATTAACTATATAATTTATTGGGTACATGTTATAATGTGATCAATGATCTTGTATGTAAATTTTTGTATATGTAGGAAACCTTTTTCTCATAAATAAAAAGCATAAAGGGGAGTTTTTGGGATAACTTTTTCAGTTCAAAAGTTTTTTTTATAAAATGATTTTTTTGTAAAAGGTCTTTTTCTAAAAGTTATGATTTAAAATGTGATTGGATAATAAAAAGATAAAAGTTGTTTTTACAAAGTACAAAAATCCTAAAAGTCACGTTTTTGTAACTTTTAAAATCAGCATTTGTTTACTCTTCCTCAAAAGTTGTTTAAAAAGAACTTTTTAACTTAGATAAATATTTTTTGCATTTTTTTAAACGCAAGTGAAAAATCACCCTCTAATAGTGAAAACCTTTTGAGAACTAATGTATCTAATATGGTTAAGATCATATCCAACCAATTACACCGTTTTTACATTGAATTGGCATATTTTTTTTTTGTTAAAACGTAATTTATCTTCAACCTACTACATTGTTTTTAACATTAAAAAAAAAATTCAAGCTCTTCGGTGCTTATTACTTTTTCAATGCTAAAATGATGTTTGGTGTTTAGTGCTTTTTTAATGCTAAAATGATGTTTATTGGCTTATTTGGTGTATTACTTTTTTAATGATAAAATGATGTTGCTTAGGAATGATTTAACTTTTAGGATTTTTACTCTATTTAACTTCTTTTTTTTAAGAAATTCATGTAAGTATATATAAAAATCAACTCAATACATGTGGAAAACTCAAGTGATAACAATCTAAACAGGTGTTACATTGTTACATTGTCAGATTGATTTAAGGAAAAAAAAATCAAGTGGCAAATTAAGCTTCCACAATAGATAACTTGAACACTAGAAGAGAGCATCCGAGTGATCCACGATCGACTACAACTCCCTTATCGTGCAATATTGCCCTTGAAAGTATAATCGCTTATATAATTAAAATGCAAACCCAACTTTTGCCTTAAGGTTGACTATGGTACTATTATTGTTAATATTTTTATAGACATGTTTTGTATATATATCATATCAATCTAGCTCACTTGTTTTTGTAATATGTATTTATTCTACGAAAAATAAGATATCATTTACAGAAAAAAAATATTACAAATTTGTAGTTATTGCACCTACAACCTACAAAAGGCAACGTTTTGTTCTTCATGATATTATCATTTCTTTGGTTTTCCAAATTACAATTCTTAAATTACATTTTTTTTAGATTAATTTTTTCATGGCATTTAACCAAAAAAAAAAAAAAAAGGTCAATAAAATCACGACCACTAAGAGAAATTTTGAATGCCGTTAACTGATCTTCACGACAATCGATCTTCAATTGGGAAGTTTAGTCTTAGTTTATTAGTAAACTCATTTAGCTCGATTTGTGTTATGCAAAGGTTAGAAATACAACATTATCGTGTCAAACATTAAAAAAAAAAGTTATCAACCATCAAAATAAGAAAATACCAAATATAAATACTACAGATAAAATAAAAAAGCACGTTTATAATGACATCAAGTATTACTATTTATATTATTACAATATGACTCCATATAACCCAACAATGCATCAAAAAACAACGAAATTTCTAATGAGATACCAATTACCATATGAAATGCTTTGCTATGGAATTTTTTATATAGTTAATTAGTGGTTTTTTTAAACAACAAATCTAATACACTTTTAAATTATTTTTAATTTCATATCTCATCATAACAAAAAACCTGATACCAATAAATTTCTAATTTCATATCTCATATTAAACAGGAAATCTCATATTAAACAGGAAGCTAAACTATTTTTAATTTCATATCTCATCATAACAAAAAGCCTGATACCAATAAATTTCTAATTTCATATCTCATATTAAACAGGAAATCTCATATTAAACAGGAAGACATAGACCAATAGATTTGAAGTCCCTTGGGCTAGAACCCTTTAGTCATTTATTTTATGTATATTTTAAAAGAAAGTTCGACAATTACATATTTACAATTTTACATGAGCAAAAACAGAAAATTTACACTAGTTTCAATTTAACTAATACAAACGAGGACAAGAGCGCTAAGTCGAAACTAATTTGATAGAAAGTAACCACTTAATTAATTCAGAAAATGGCATGTAATAAATATAATTTCAATAATATAATATGTAACTAATAGCGTTTATCATTTAAACATGTAACCAAATTCAAACCAATATTATTTTTATTGATTGTCTGAAAAAAGTTCTTGCAATGATGGACAAAAACACATATATACTTATTGTGTACAGGTGCATCTACAATTTCCAAAAATTCGAACAAACAAAACTGGAGTTTGTTGTATAACAATCAACAAATATATTTCCATGTATATATGCTGGTAAAAAAAAAAAAAAAAAACAATTCAGATCTCTCAACTAAATTAATCATGTATTTTTTTTTTCAATCACTCAAGGCAACAACATAAATCAAACTTATTTACTCTTCATTTGCATTCATTTATCTTTTAGTTCTTACCTTTTCATCATTTCCCAATTTCTTGCAGGTCTGTATACGACGAAGATTCAAGTGCAAGATCTGTAATACAACTCGATGATCGACTGAGTCGGATGCTACCGGTGTGCCTCAATGGACTACTTGGCGCAGACCTTAATGATCTTGGCGACTCCAAACTCCGCCGGAGAATCTGTCTCATAGCAGTGATCAAATGAACCGCCGGATTCGGTGGCGGATCTGACGACGATGACATCCTGCAAAAGTTCATATGACGAAACATAGCCTCTTCGGTGCTGATCATCAGCCTTTCACTCCTCATTATTTCATCTTTCACCGCCTCTCCACACAATCCGCAGATCCATTTACCGCCATACCTCTCCCGGATCCTCTCTATATACGACGGCGTACACTCCTCCGTCAATCCGCAGCAATCACACGTAGCAAACTCTACTTCCGTCGTCTGAGAATCCGTCGGAGGTATTATCATCGCATCGCTCATAACTGTAGTAGACATATCTACAACGAACAAGTAACAAAACTATTCATCAGTAAGTCAATCATATCAGCATAGAATCTCAAAATCAACAACTCGATCCAAACAAACTAAACAAATCATATTAACCAGTATTTCAGTAATCAAAATTCAAAATCTATAATTATATGGAAACAAACGAAGTTAATTACCAGTAGTAGAAGGGGGGTTTGATACTTTGTGCAAACAATGAATCTCTCGTTAGAATCAGGTGAAATAAACAAAGTCGTCGTATATACAAATCGTAATCCTTTATCTCTCTATTGGAACTCTTCTTCTTCAACATTCGATTCTTCGGTAAAAACGAACAAACATGTGCTAGACATTTCAGATGAATTTGAATCTAAATTCTCACTGTTTTTGTTACGATCAAAATGAAAAATCGAAATGGTTTTGTTGTGAGGGAATAATTGAATGATTAGAAGTAAGCAGATTGTGCAATATATATGTGCTTTGAAATGGAATGATAGCCATAAAAAGTATATTATTAGTTGCCAGCTGTATGTACATTTGTCACAAACTTCTAGCACCACGTTTGAAAAAACAAGTATTAACTTTACATTATTATATCATCTTCTAAAAAGAATCACGAAATATAGTTGTATAATGTATTTAAACCTCTTTTAGTTATTAAAATAAAAAACTATATATTCTTTACAAAAAACTAATTATGATATTTATTCATCTAACGGATCATTTAACGTGAAGTGACAATATACATGAAATTTTATAAGTTCAAAATCGGTCTAAGTTATTATTATGTGTATTTAGCTAGGATAAGAACGTAACTTTTTTTAATTTATTTTATTACAAAAAGGAAATATCTTTTTTAAAGTATTTATTATTAGCTAGGATACACATATGTTTATTGATTCTTTTATATTGACAACTGATTATTTATACATTTGATTATTAGTTAAAGACTTTTTATTCTAAAATACATAAATAAATGAATTGATCAAACTCCGAGTAAAATGCATAAATAAATGAAGATTATATATCAACCAAAAGTCCAAAACTGTACTAATGAAAAATAAAAAATACAGTTAAAAGATTATATATTTTGTTTAAAGGGTATAATCTTTTGTCAAGATCAACGTGTGATTAAAATATATATATATATATATATATATATATATATATATATATATATATATATATATATATATATATATATATATATATATATATATATATATATATATATATTCAAAGGACCGTGTTTCTCTATTTAATAAAGTATCTTTTAATTAACTACTATTCTTTAACATGAATTGCTGAATTAGATTAAAATATTAAATAAACATTAGCATTAGCATAATCATAATTGTTTTTTAGGCAAAAGAAATGGCTCCTGAAAATACAAACTATATATATATATATATATATATATATATATATATATATATATATATATATATATATATATATATATATATATATATATATATATATATATATATATATATATATATTCAAAGGACGGTATATGTATATTGGAAGATAAACATATTCAAAGGACCGTGTTTCTCTATTTAATAAAGTATCTTTTAATTAACTACTATTCTTTAACATGAATTGCTGAATTAGACTAAAATATTAAATAAACATTAGCATTAGCATAATCATAATTGTTTTTTAGGCAAAAGAAATGGCTCCTGAAAATACAAACTATATATATATATATATATATATATATATATATATATATATATATATATATAATATATATATATATATATATATATATATATATATATATATATATATATATGGGAAAAGTGAATATACCCTTAAGGGTATATAAGCTTAGGTACCCAAACTCACCATACTACATCGTTATGTATCATATATAGACATTGTAATTGTCCAATGTTCTTATAATTCAACTTTTAACTTGAAGTACTTCAAAGATTTTTATAAATTTCATATTTATCTTCATCTTACATAATTATCATTTACAACAATAATATATATAGCTTAGTAATTGTTCGATAAAAAGATGTGATGTAAGAGGAAGATAATAGTGAAAATTTAAAAATATTGAATATAAATCAAGTTAAGGATTGAGGTTTAACAATATTATAATGAATATATTAAAAAAAACGACGTATTATTATGAGTTTGGGTACCTAAGCTTATATACCCTTAATGGTATATTCATTTTTCCCTATATATATATATATATATATATATATATATATATATATATATATATATATATATATATATATATATATATATCCGGTAAGAAATTTTTTTGGTAGGAAGGTAAGAAGTTTTTTCTATATATTTTTTTGACAAATAAAATAAATGAATCACTAGATGATTCATTTGTAAGATGATTCACAAGAAAAAATTCTCAAAAAAAGATCTTTACGATTCATTATTAAGTAAATTAAGAAAAAATTCATTTTTATGATAATTTTAGTGAATAACAACAAAATCATTGTATAAATGAATCATCGAGATGTTTTTTTAAGAATTTTTTCTTGTGAATCATCTTACAAATGAATCATCTAATGATTCATTTTGTTTGTTCGCAAAAAAAAATATGTAGAAAAAAAACTTCTTACCTTCCTACCAAAAATTTCCTTCTTATTTGATCTTGATTCTCTCTCTCTCTCTCTCTCTCTCTCTCTATATATATATATATATATATATATATATATATATATATATATATATATATATATATATATATATATATATATAAATGAAGACTCATTTTAACGTGAGGATTCGTGAATACACCTTAAAAAAATTGAAAAAAAAATATAAAAAAAAAATAAAAATCATAAAATCGAGCATATATGTATGTCCGAGAGAAAAAAAATTGGATCATTAAAATTGAATCATGGATCATAATGATGCAAAATAAAAAATTAAAATTGAATTATGGATCAATTTTAATGATGCAATTTTTTTCCTGGACATAAATCTATGATTGATCTTATTATTTGTATTTTTTTAGATTCTTTTTCAAAAATTTTAAAGTATCCTTACAAGTCTTCACTTTAAATTGAGTCATCACAGGAACCAGACCATATATATATATATATATATATATATATATATATATATATATATATATATATTAAATAAGTGGTTATCTTGTGAATAGTTGTGTGTTCCAATTGATCCATTTTTTTTTCATTTTATTTATTTAATCTTTCTTTTTTGTGCCTATGTTTTTAAGCATTTTTGTTTTTCCCTTTTGGTTTATGAAGCTTTACCTCTGTCCTTGGTTTGAGAGCGTTGATGTACACGTGGTGACGTTGGGATATCCATGGTATACGTGTTTCGATTTCAATATTCTCCTCCTACTAGACAACGCCATGGGGTTAACTCTACCGATCCATCGCTTCTTCTTATATGCATTTATGTTGCATGGAGAAGAAAAGGGACGATGACCAAACTCCGACTCAGCCATTGACGAGACTGTGCGAAAACCTTAAACTCCATTTTCGTCGTCTACGTCTCCCTACACCTCCATCTCCACTCTCATCTGTAAATCATTTGACCACCGTTAAGCCACCAAGTATGCGATTGAGCCCCTTCATCTCTCGCTTCTGATTGCTCCTGTGTCTTCTTTTCTCTCATTTTGAAAGCATATTACCTTTGATCTTTCTTTACATGTTTCTCACAATCTCTATTGGGAACCCTAAATCTACTACTGACCACCACCTCTGTCACAAGCGCTGCCACCACCTTGACCCCATCTACTTATATTTATCACCACCGCTTCCATCACCTCCTTTAGGATCCGTTGCCACAATATCCAAACGCTAGTTGCCTATGCTAATATCTCCTCTTATCACCAACCAAATCCCACATACCTACTATCGGCATCATGATTAACCCACCACAACTACTTGAGCAAAAAGACGGAAGAGGTTCATGAGTATGTTGAGTAGTAGAAACTAGGCTCCTCTAATCCTCCACCCATGTCTTCATCGATTATCTTAACTTCTTCATATAAGTCATCTACCACTTCATCAACTTCTTCTTCTAATTAACTCGTATGTGTAGTGAAAGCGATTACCTCAAATGTCATGGTAATTGAAGCTCTTGGTTTCGAACATTTGACTTTTTCACCATAGGGTTTGATATGTGTATATTTAGTTATATATTTTGTGTATAATCTTAATACTTTTTGGCTATTTTATTTCAATAATGAACAAAAGGTACTTAATTATGTTTAAATTATATTTTCAGCCTAAAAGATATGCTCGGAAGCAAAAGGAAGCGCGAAATGCAATCAGAAGCTCGGAATTGAAGAAAGAAGAAAAAGAGTCAAAAAAACCACACCTACTCGACGAGTAGGCACGAAACTTCATGAACAAATGGATGCCTTACCGTGCACAGATTTTAAGTGAGGGACTCGGCGAGTCGGCCTATGGACTAGACGAGTCACCCCTGTTTTCAGAAATCTATATAATGGGCATAAACCCACGAAACAAGGACCTTTTCTGGAACCCGTGGGGATTGAATTTCGATTGAAAGTGTAGCCGAAGCTCTGGAACTTGTGGATCAACCCTAGACTTCAAGTTTGAGGAGATCAAAAGGCATGATTATATTCTCTTTTCTTAATCTAGTGTTTACATCATGTTTGAATCATTAGGTTTAGTGTATGAGACGTTTTTTGCTATGAATATGAGCTAAAAACTCGTTACTTCTGCTCAGGTTCAACTTATTTATTCCTATGTTGATTTTATGGCAAGTGCAATGGATTAATTTGTCATGGCTACCGATTAATGCGATTAGGTTCATGTTCACTATTACTAATTCTTAGGAAACAAATCAATTCAACCAGTGGCCAATTGGTTAAATTAATGAGTTTACTAGTTTATTGATTCGGGTTAAGTAAGACTTGTAGTTAGCTAATTAAATTGCTAATTCAATTAACTTCTCGTATGGTTGTTCGTCACACAAGCTCACACATTGATTTACCTATTTTCTAATTAACCGCTAGTTTCATGTTCACTATTCCTAGGCATATAACATTGTTTTCACATAAATTATATGAGACAAGCAATCAAGAGATGTTCATGCAACTTAATATGCTTGATAATTAACAGAAAATAGTTATTGGCAACTCATGAGGGTCTTTAACAAACTTAACAAAACAAAATTCACCAAATTAAATTAATCTAACCACAAAATCAAACCATAGTCATAAATTTGTCTACCCTAAATAGAAGAAACGAGTTTTTAGCTCATATTCAAAGAAAAAATGTCTCATAAACTAAACCTAATGATTCAAACATGATGTAATCACTAGATTAAGAAAAGAGAATATAATCGTGCCTTTTGATCTCCTAAAACTTGAAGGCTAGGGTTGATCCACAAGTTCCAGAGCTCCGGCTACACTTTCAATCGCAATTCAATCTCCAAGGGTTGCAGAAATGGTCCTTGTTTCGTGGGTTTATGCCCATTATATAGATTTCTGAAAACAGGGGCGACTCGCCGAGTCCATAGGCCGACTTGCCGAGCCCCTCACTTAAAATCCGTGCGCAGTAAGGCATCCATTTGGTCGCGAATTTTCATGCCTGCTCACCGAGTAGGTGTGTTTTTTTGACTCTTTTTCTTCTTTCTTCAATTCCGAGTTTCCGATTGCATTCCCTGCTTCCTTTTGCTTCCAAGCATGTCTTTTAGGCTGAAAATATAATTTAAACACAATTAAGAACCTTTTGTTCATTAATTGAAATAAAATAGCCAAAAAGTATTAAGATTCTACACAAAATATATAACTAAATATGCACATATCAATATACCCACACTTGACTTTTGTTTGCCCCCAAGCAAAACTGAATTTTAGCACACTAGCATCCCATAAGACAATCCTAATCAAACCCAACCATTATGCAAAGACCGCAACGCATGCATTTGTGTCTAAAATTTTCCTAAGGACCCCCTAATCTTAAATACTTACAATCCTTATAAACACTCGCCCACTTCTTTTGAACAACGTTCATTTTATGCATCCCTCCGAATCCATCCGCAAAAAACTTTCTTAACCTCAATGTATTTTTGATCAGCAACCCAAACATACATAATCTATAAAATTACAAATTTTTTATACCACAATGGAGCTCTTTGAATTCTTCATTTATTTGATCTCGATTTCTTCGAATTCACCACCTTCTTTGTTTGGTTTTGGTATCTTTAATTTTTTTTTGATTCTTCAGAATTTTGATCTTTTGGTCTTCAAACTTTGACTGCTCCAAAATTCTTATAACTTTTCTTGTGACTTTCTTTTAAACATGTACCTCACTTTTTTTTTTCACTCAATACCTACATGCTTAAGCAATGACGCTCAACTTCAACCTTTATTGGTTAAAGTATTAATCTTCCTGTATACATTTCAAGTACACGATGCTAAGCATGTTGCATCCCTCAAACTAAGCGAGGTTGTGTTTTTTCCCATGATTTCACTAGAATGAAGGAGGCCACAAATGCATTATAACGTATATAGACTCACCTAAACTTTTGGGTTTTCAAAGAATCATCGAACATAATACTAGCATTAACCCTTATTTCTTTTACCAAGGTTTTCTAAATTAACCATAACAAGATTTATGCAAAATTTTTAAAATTAATTAAAATTTGAACTAAATGTAACTAACCCCCTACCCCACACTTAATTTATGCAATGTCCCCATTGCATATTATGCACGATAAAGAAATCATAAAAATAAAAAGGGAATTGGAACAAACTCCCCTAGGATAGTAATTGCGAGGTCAATCTTCTTCTTGTTAAGCTCCATCTTCAATTGACTTTAGGCATGAGAACAGCTCATCCATGCCTTTGACATCAAATCTCCTGTGGTACAACTCCTAAAGATGGGAAAATTCTTGGAAACAATTGGAAAATGACCTTAAAAAATATTGTCAATTGTTGTGTCAAATAGCATCAAATATTTGGCTTGAAAGGTGAAATAAAGGTCAACTCGTCGAGTTCCTAGGGTGACTCACCAAGTTGAAGTGTAATGCAGAAAAAAGTCGAGTTTTCTCACATGGACTCGTCGAGCCCATCTTATGCACTCGCTGAGTCCATCGCTGAATGGAAAAAAAATTATGTTTTTGCTCCAGGTCCATCATTCAGGTTTGTGGATTATATCAAACTGATACTTTTTCTCATTTTCCTTCAGTGATTAAGCTCTTGATAACCCCTTTTATTATCGGACTCGTAACTAGACTCAAAGCTTCTCTCTTTCTCTTTTTTTTCTTTCTTGCCTAGACTCAATTCTTTTTCCTTGGTTAGCCTTCACTCCGTACTCTCGCATGCAACCCTCAAACTAAGAATATCAAAACAAAAACAATGACATAAAAGGAAAACAAATAAAACAACCTAAATAATCCTAGTTACTTTAAGTTCACACACCAACCAAAAGAAACCAAAAACAAATAAAAATTGTTTCAAACTCAACCACATAAACACAAATAAAAAGATATTTAATCTTCATCTCCTTCTTCATCATCTCCCTTTCCACTTCCTCCATCTCTGCTTTAGTGTTGATTTATCCTTTCATCCCAACTTCTCACATATGGGTATCCAGGCCCATCCATTGGTTGAATATTAAGATGATTGAACAAATGAACAAATGAACTATTGTGATAGTTCATACTCCTTCCAAGATCATCTTGGTAGTTTCTCAATTCAACATTGTACCAATCCATGAGCAACTCATCATCCATCGGAATTACCGGTGGGTCTTCTCGTACATGCCCTTGTCTTGGTCGGATCCGTCTTCCCGACTCCTCGGGTGTCTCAACGGCATCATCATTTGGAATAGAAAAGTCGCCACCCCCATAATCTTTAACTATTCTAGCCCTTCGGTAAAACATAATACCAAATGTAGGTGTGGGATCCATTATCAAGAAATTACGGACGCCTCTTTCCAACACCCCATATGACCTTGCCAATCGAGTCACAAACATCCCACCATTTATTTTTGAAGTTGTCCGATTCTTTACCGCCCATTCGCCCATGTATCTTACCAAACAAAAGGGTATGTTGCAAAACGTGTTCAGCATGATGATACTCCACAAATAAAATATATCAAGATTCGAAACTTTGTCATCATCTTTGCGCATATTGATGGTGCTCGCAGTCAATAGATGAATCAAACGGTGAATAGGAGAATGAATGCTTCCCTCTTGAGCCGCCGAGGGAGTGTAAACTTGATTTGCTATAGTATGCCACCATGTGGAAGCGACCATACCCTCCGGTAAATCCCTATGGTAATGATATAGGAAAGCACCAAATGACCCAATCATGACCACAAGTTGATCATATATGTCAATCCTCCACCCAAGCTCTGCAATGCTACAATGGCGGACTTCCCCACCAAGGAAAAATGTGAGGACATTCGGGTTGTACAATTCATTAGCCCCGGAGAAAGAAACAATAGAGAAGAATTCCCAATA